AGATTATATCACATATAGATGGTTCTGTTTACCTGCACTTTTAGGACTATGATGGGGTTTCCTCCTCATTCACCTACGGTATTACTATAAAAGAGTATAGAGCGTGTTTAATGACTTTGATATTTTCTAAATACTAGCAAAACATTCGTGCTATGGTACTATAATTAATGAAAGAATATAGACGGATGGCGAGACAGGATAAATCAATACTATAATAAGTGCATATGAATGAAAATGAAGACTCGATGAAGACAAAATTTGTCGTTTTGCAGCAAACTAGTTTCCGTAGTATTCTAGTCATTTTCGATGATTCTGCTTTTGCGAGACTGGGAATGAGGTGTTTGGATAAGCTTTGTTTAGGTTTTTTTAGCTGCTGAAATTCGAGGCAGGATTTCCATAACAGTTATCTACTTTATGGTATATTTATTATAATGCGAAGTGGCCTTTTTGATGAGTCTTAATGAGAAATAGAAATGCCAAAATAGCGCTTAATGCCTGATTATCAGATGAAAAAGCAAACTTTCCATTATGAGATTTTAAGGATTGTAGAGAATTATGCTTAAGGAAGCAGTGAATTGAGTGAGCTCACCTTCTTAGGAGCAAGAAGCGTTGGAGAGCCGGGGGAAGCGGCAATATTAAGAAACCAGTTGAGATCTGGTAGACGATCGGAATACAGCCCTACCATTTAACTGCAATAAGCAATTTACTTCATTTTTAATTAGAATATGAGCATAGAAGATAGGAAAATCGGATGGTCAGCTACGGTATGACTATAGCAGACGTTTAAAAGTGGATTGTGTGAGGCGCACGGAAATTAGGTCGAGAGATGATTCGTTCAGGGCAAGGAGGGCAGGTGCGTGTGTACATATGCACATATGAGGGCTACGGCTACCACGGAGGGCTTTCTAGATGAGGTAGAGCTGTGAGGGGCTCGTTAACGCGCACCTGTCAGTGAGATCGACCTCAATGTTACAACGCCTTGAGTCCTTCAATGGGCAGCATGCAAGCGGCCATGCATTGCACATGCGATAGAAGACCCCCTCCCCCCCTCAACGACAAACGCATGGTCATTAGGTCAGACGGAAACGAAATTACTCATTACGGGGTTCGTAAGCTGTTAATGCCGTGATCGCACACCTTAAATGAGTACCTGCATAGTTGCGGCCTGTTAGTTGCTCTGATTGTCCACAAGCAATCAGCATTACGTTATGTTCCCATGAATATTTGATTTATTGCAGTATGGAACATAGTGAACAGCTTATGTGTTCATTAGCCTGCTATACAGCTGATAAAGCCAAACAACTTCTCACGCACCCTCA